TCTGATTAAAAATAAAATATCGGAACTTGTAAAAAGGCCTAAAGGACAGAAACTTATAGACTTTAAATAGATCTATAAAGTAGGGAGAAGGTAGGGGTAATACATAAAATACAAGGCTAGATTAGTAGCTAAAGGTTTTACTCAAAATGAGAGTAATGATTACACTGAAATTTTTTCTTCTGTAGTTAAATACACTTCTATTAGATGCTTACTTGCCTTAGTTGCTCAATTTAAATGGGAACTTGATCAGCTTGATGTTAAAACTGCTTTCTTGTATGGTGAACTTGATGAAATTATTTACATGAGACAGCCTGTTGGTTTTGAGAAAGATAACTCTGAAAATACTGCATGTTTGTTAAAGAAATCTTTGTATGGTTTAAAACAAGCCCCTAGACAATGGTACAAAAGGTTTGACACCTTTGTACTAAAATTGGGCTTCAAAAGAAGTCAATATGACACTTGCTTGTACTGCAAAGGTAATGAAGGTAAAAATTATTTATATTTGGTCCTTTATGTGGATGATATGCTGCTTGCTAGTTGCAATTAAACTGAAATTGAAAACATTAAACTAAAGTTGAAAATTGAGTTTGATATGAAAGATCTTGGCTTTGCCAAAAAGATTCTAGGTATGCAAATTGTAAGGAATAAAGAGAATGACTTGCTGTTTCTAAATCAACATGATTATGTGATTTAAATTCTGAAAAAAAATCAATATGTATGACTGCAAACCTATATCGTTACCTCTTGCAAATCATTACAAATTATCTTCAAATTGCTGTCCTAAAACTGAAGATGAATATGTTAGGATGTCCAGGATTCCTTATGCAAATGTAATAGGCGCCATTATGTACTTAATGGTCTGTACTAGGCTTAATCTTGCACATAGTATTAGTATATTAAGCAGATTTATGAGTAATCTTGGAGAAGATCATTGAAATTCCTTAAAATGGTTATTAAAGTACCTTAAGGGCACTGTTGATTTAGGCTTAGTGTTTAAATCTAATAAATATGGTATTATGTTAAAGGGATACACTGATTCAGACTTTGCTGGTGTAGAGATAATATGAAGTCAACTTCATCCTATTTTTTATACCTTATGTGGTGCTATCATTAGCTGGAAGTCTCAATAACAAAAGATTGTTGCATTATCATCTACTGAAACTGAATATATATATCTGCCACTGATACTATAAAAGAAGGAATGTGGTTAACTGGCTTGCTGTCTGAACTTAGATTTGTTGATGCACAAACTGTTTTTTTTTCTTTTTCTGATAACCAAAGTGCTATTCACCTTAGTAAGAATCTCATGTTTCATGATAGAACTAATCACATTAATGTTAAATATCACTTCATTAGAGATGTTATTTCTAAGGGAGTAATAAAAATTGAAAAGATTGCAACTCAATATAATCCATCTGATATGGGTAGTAAGTGATTCCTTTAAACAAGTTTTTAAACTACCTTAAATTCATTTCTATTGATTCTTTGTGATTCTTAATATAGGTACATAGAGCATATGAAAATGAAATGTGAAAATGCTCCTGGGTGCACTGACAGTCCAAAATCTGGTAACAAGATGGAGAATGTTGGATTCAAACCCTGGTTCTCTCTTATATGATGCTCCCAGCATTTTGTAGGAATAAACATGTTTGTGAAACACGCTTCTATTATTGAAACGTTTTGACTATGCTTGACATGGGTTTTTTTCTAACTGTTGGATGGAAATTGCATTATTTACTTCGGCTTGATGGCTCTTAGTTTTCATACGGTTCATTTGGCTTTTGGAGACTTCTGGGGCTCCTGCGTGTTTTAGAGAGAAGGAGAGGAAATAGACTAGGGTTTACTGTCTATGGGTGATAGAGTAATCTTTGTGGTGTAATATTTTGAGTGAATGTTGTGAGGATCTGTGTGATTTCTCTGTTGTGGTTTTCTAGTGTTGTTCGAATGGTTATTTGGAGACTTTTGGTGAATCTTTTGTAGATCTATCGATGTATTTTGATAAATAAGTCTCTTACTTCATATCTCTGAATTTGTAACTTTTGTTGTCATTTTAGGATGTTTTAGTGCAATAGAACATAATCATTTTCTTGGATGCTCAACGGGAGATGTAGGTGTTAGAAGTGGTCACCGTACCTCTGGGGCTAAGATCAAAATAATTCTTTGGTGTTCATTTTAATTTCTACAGTTTATTTTCAATTGATTCGATTATTCTTGTTTCTCGTTTCTCATATTGTGTGTGGTTTTGGTTTTACAATTATATTTTGGAATGGTAATTTTTTTAAAAATGTACGGTTAAAAAAAATTAGGAAAAAATTTTAAATTTACTTGTAAAATTATTTTTTAATATGTGTGGTTGAAAATGAATTTTGAGAAAAATGAGACTTAAAAGATCTATTTCACCATGTGCAAAGTGCATACTCAAGGCTGCCAAGAAACTTCATCGACACTAAAGGAACATCCTAATAATGAAGAAAAGAAAAGAACACTCGAACTCAACAAACTGAGCACAATACCAATGAACAATAAATAGGTGGAAAACATAAATTCAACAAGAATCTCAACATATAGATATATATATATACTAGGTGCAAGCAACGTGCAATGCACGTTTGCCTAGTTTATATTTAATAGTTTTGTTTAATAATTAATTTGTTATTAATAAAGATGTAATTTTTTTGGTTAATTAAATAATTAATGATGTAATGTTTCTATAGTTGTTAAATAATTAGATGTGTGATTTTGATGTTGTGATGTAAGTTGGTGAGATCGAAGAAAATAAGCAAAAGTTGACAAATTTGGAGAAATGGCTAAATTGTAAGGGATCCAAAGTTCGGGGACTAAAATGTAAATACTTAAAAGTTGTG